TTTTAATATGTCTGTGAAAACTCCTATGGGAAGACTATAATACTGCAGTCAGTGGAGTTTAAAATAACATCTGTAAATTAGAAGAATTAATGGTAAGTGTCTGTGGAAGGAAGGGACATTCCTCCCACAGAGGAATTGGTCCCATCTTCTCCAAGGTTGCACTCACAAATTTTCCATCGTTTGCAATCCAGTCAGGATTATACCTTTGGAAGTCAGCTGGAAGAAAAGCAAGAGAGCACCTCTAGGTTTGGATGTAGGAAGGCTGTGTGAATGTGTGCCTCCTACAAGAAGCAACAGAATTTATTCAGCTGAAGGCTTCTTCCCTTAGGATGAGTTCCTCTAGTGCTTTTCTCTTGAATGGGTAGAAATCTCTTGCAGCTCTTAAGTTCATACAAAATCCTTCCTCAGCCTGCCTTCACAGGTTTAACCATCTGATCATTTCATTCCTGGAAAAAAGAAAACAAAAAATAGTTCTGATGAAAACAACTGCAATAGGACCCTCCCTTCGCCTTCTGCTCCTCCCATTTCCTTGGCCAAACTGTGAGGTCCAGAAGTAGGTCCAAGTCCATGAAGGGCAATGGTCACATCAGTAGGTTTCTCCAGTATGAGTTAGCTTGAGTGCACCTCTCTGCTGACAGTGCTAAACTCTTTCCATGTGTTGAACTAGCTAGGTCAGTTATTTCTGTCATGATCATTGTACAGTACAGACATGCCATGCAACATAAGTCCCAACAGCGATGGACATCTTTCATTTTTAAATGTAGTCTATAGCACACTGTTAACAGAGGATAAAATAATAAAGTCCTGTAGGCTGATTGTCCCATCCAACTGATTGGCATTTTCCAGGTGCAGAGAGACAAAAGAGCTGTACCAGGAAAACAGCTGGAAATGTTCTGAAACATTTTTATATTATATTTTCCCTGTATGTCTGAGAAGCTTAAGTACAAATACACATACACATGTACATAACATACAAGTACAATACACATACAAAAGTAATGTGATCATTCCCAAGAGTTCCAGCAACTTTTTATATAATATCACAGAGGTACAGAGAGTTATGAAGGCAAATGCAGCAACAGCAAATTAATTATCCTGAACTTAATCATACCAGATATGTTTAAAATCTATTTTCTGCCTCTGTATGCTATATTTTAGATAATGGGGATTTTTATCTGTGCCTCACATAGAATCATACATAGAACTGCTTTTGGGAGCAGTTTTACCTAATTTTCTAGTTAATTCTGTTGGGGTTGCAAATACTTAGCAACACTCAGGCTGTTGAATAAAGGCCTGAGGCAACTCTCATTGAAACTGGGAAAATCCCTTGGAAAAAAAAAGAAGTATCTAAAATTGGGCATTTTTTACACAAATCAATACACCTTTTGAGAAAGACCTTATAGCACTTACTAGGGAATACTCTATAGAGGTTTTGAACTATCCTACAAAATATAATATATAGGCCTATGACTGTTGTATCACAGATAATAGCCTTTTAGAAAAAAGCTGTGCAAAGCATATAGTCTATATCAAGTTCCTAAATGTTTTATCTTACTTTGTACAGGATCTTAATGATTGTGAATATAAACATGACAGTTTCATGAATTCTGTGTCCTGTCAGATTTTTTTATCCCATGAAACACTGTTTAGGAAAATCAATTTTTCTTCATGAACCTTCCACTAAAGTAAACAGAAAAAGATTTCAAGACTTTCCTAGGAATTATATTTACCCTTAAGGAGCAGTTGGTGGTACCAGTTATTACAGACAATTCTCTTTCTCAATCCTTTCTGAGTTTTTAGTAGAAAGTTGAGCAGTTTAGAAAACCTACTGCATATAATCCAGATACTGTGGAAGCATGCACTTTTTCATGTTTGTTTATCTAGTTGTGGATCWGGAAACATTTTGCTTTTAATTTGAGCACTAGTCAGTTCTGGTTTTCCTTTATCAAAACCCACTTTATTTTATTAAACAGCAGAATTTGTTATCTGTCAATTAAGTGTGGTTACTTTAGTCTTGAGACGTTCCAGTTTCAGAAAGGTTTGGTTTATGCTAAAAGATTTGTCACTGGTAGCTGCATAATCTGTGTCAAGGAGTGAGAATGCATAAATTGACATGGGAAAGGGAAACCAGAAGTTGTGAAGACTTGTCACTCTTTCTTTATGCAGCTGCTATGACAAAATAATAAACTTTTTCTTTTTCACTGTTAAATTTGGTGCTGTACTAGCTGCAATAGAAATAGTCAAATTCCTGCTGACTAATACTCTAGGACTTCATTTTCTCAGTAGTATTTCAGGACTTCAGAAACACAGAAATGAATACTATTATTTGTATGGTGTGACAAAGTTGATGGAGGATGTTTTTTTCATGAGTAGAGTTAGCTGTCCAGAATTTGGAAAGCTTTGCCTGCAATAGTGCTCAGTGAGACACCCTCACCCTGACTGATTTTTGAGAACTCAGCAGCACTCAGAAAGCCTCTGGAGAATTTATTCTTGTGTCTGGGGTCCAGAAATATTGAAAACTTGTCTCTACCATTTTTCTTCCATGTCCAGTTACAGAAGTGTAACTAAAGAGTTCRTAAGGACTGGCCACTGGAATTTCTTATGTGTGATATCCTCCCATTCCCCCGCAAACGTGTAGGAATGAGTAACAGCAAAGTTTGGTGACAATAGCCCAAATAGGATCAAAACATTTAGAAAGTCATGAGTGATGGGAATAAAGACCTGAAGAATGCAGGAATCCAGCACAGTTCTTACATCTCCCTAAAAATAAAAGCATAGTCATTGTGGATTTTTGATGAAAACTTTATAATACTGAAAAAACCGAACAGCTTAAGGCCACCTGCCTGGCCACCCCTTTTAATCTCTGGACAGAACTGAAGTATGATTAATAGATTCTAATTATGGAATTATTTCACAAGAAATAGAAAAGTAAGATTTTCCATGGGGCTTATTGTTTTCATAAACTATCTTGGCTCCATAAATAACTGGTTGTTGGCGTGACTATGCTCCCACACATACCACATAGAAAAAAAAAAAAAACAAAAAAACTCCTACATGCAGGTGCATGGTAGGAGTTCCTACATGGGACAGGTCCTTGAGGAGCTAGGAAACTCTGTGGGTTTTCCCACTCACATTTTTTGCTCCTGAATTTGAAATTGCAATTTGTGAACAGCAGTAAAGACAGCACTGGTACTGTTGCACTATGAGCAGGTTAAGAGGATGCCAGCACTCAGAAGGGAGCAAATCCACATTTGCAGACACATTATCTGGATGATTTTAGACATGGGTAAGATGATGATGAAGGCATAAATTTCATACTCACAACAGAAAACCATGYGTGTTGAGGAGACACCAAAAATTCCTTGGGGTGCTTTATGGAAAATAGATCCYTGTTTTAATTTTGTTCTACCAAGTTACTACTTGGCACTTTTTAATTTCTTTAGGAGGCACCCACTGATTTTKCTACTATTTCATACAGCTTGTAAACCAGTTTACTTTCTATTAGCAGAGCAATACCACAATGTCATATGAGAACTCAAGGCTTTATATATTAATAGTGCCTGCAGAAAGCTTATTTACCATGGTATCACGTTGTCAAATCTTTTTTCCTAGCATTAGATCCAGAAAAACATCTATATGGCTGCCCTCTAAATAGAAGTGCCTGACTTTTAGAAGAGAATTAAAACAGCTCTTGTAGATTCTCTGTTTATGGCCAGTCATATGGTAGAGCTTGGTCAGAATATTTTTGAAGTTAAATAGTGTTTAGGGATGTTCCAAAACAAAATCTAATTCAAGAAAAAAAATCTGAAATAAAAGACTTTTGAGTTGAAGAATGTTTTCAGTTCTGCTTCCTTTGAGTAAGGCTGAACCTACACAAAATGGCTTTGTCTCTGCAACTTTGATGTAGGAGATTGATCTATTTTTGTTTTTCAGCTGAAATATTACCCTTGAACAGTTCTGCAAGTATAGTGCTGCCTTATTTCAGATTAATCTATCCCATTTGGGACGGATAAATGTTTGCTCTGCATCATGTGGCTGCACAAGGACATATACTGACTCATGCCCTTGCCCATTGAGGAAAAGTCTCTAGGTGCTGAACYAGATACTGAAATACCTCCACATCCACGGATATTAGCAGAATATGTATCTGTAACCTTGTTTTAGGTGTGCCACCTGTCAGCACCAGCTTAGAAGATCTTTAGATTACTATGATATTTATATTTCTCAGGTCCAACACTAAGCCAAGATAAAAATGAACACCCTAGCTTAGTGACTTAGTAATTTGTTTGGGAACGTGATGGCCCCTAAGTGCAGCTTTAGATCTTTCTCTTTCCCTCTCCCATAAATTCCTTTTTTTTTTTTTTTTTTTTTTTTTGACTGAATATTATATCAAGTATATTTTTAGGCTACAGTCTCTAAAGGAGGCCTCTGATTAACCACTAAGACATATCAGCTGTGTGCAACTTCCCCAGTCAGACCACAACTCGCACCGACTTCTGTGCCTCTCTGCTAGTGGGGCTTTCAGGAATTTCCATTTGTCTGAGGAAGGTTTTTTTTTCAGTCATGCCTGTGCCCCTGCTTCTGCTTCACCTGAGCCTCATGACAATGTCTTCTAGAGATAATGGAAAGGTCAAAAGCTCCATTTTCCTTAAAATGGCAAAGCAAGTTTCTAGCTTCTGTGAAATGTTTTTCAAGGAAAATTCTGAAAATAGGAAGGAGCATTTTTCTGAACCACAGAATCCAAAGGTAAAATAAAATACTTTCTCCATCATTATTTTCAAGAGTTCCACAGTTTTTTAGCCTGACCCTTTTGTTAGTATTATTTTCTCTTTAGAGAAGGTTGGGGTAAGGGAATTAACTCATGGTTTAATTTATCTTTTATTCTTTGAGGCTGGCAAAGGACTTCTGCCAGCCTTCAGAATATAAGTGAAAAGAAGTCTACGTAGATTTCAYTATGAGTGAAATAAAGGCAGATATGTCAAACTAACCATTTTCCTCCCAGKATTCAGAGAGGGATGCAAGAAGCTTTCCTTTTCCTTCTTTCAAACAGTCCCATAGCCTCAAGGTAAGGGTTTGATGCTGGCAACCAAGGCCATKTATTTCTTCTTCAGTTGTTAGCAACTTGCCTGTATAGTTTTAACCATATTGTTATTGTACCTCCTTTATTTTCTCTTTCCTTTCTCTTCTCTGCATCAGTGGAACCAAAATATCAGAAGTATGGAAATATTGGAACAAGTGGAGGAGTGGGACAAAAACTGCTTTCCTGGAATAGAGTATTATGGCAGAGCGGGGTCAGAAGCAGATGAGGCTAAACAGTGACCCAAGAGTGTGCCTTTATACGTACATTTCTTCTTGTTCCTCTTCAGTCATAAAAAATTTGGGTTTTAAATTTCTAATTTTACTGTAAAAACAACTATTTTTCTATCCTGTGGGCAGCTGGTTTAAGATTTAAGTTACAATTGAGTGATTGTTTTTTTCTGTTTTATTTGTATTTWAGTGCCGTCAGTATACTTAGTTCCAGTTTTAAGTAAAGCTCATGTTACTCGAGAAAGATTGCAACAGAGTATGTTTGTTTTTTGGGAACACAAGAAACTACGGCTTGCAGCTAGCAGGAAAGATGTGACGGACTGAGAACTTACTAAGGTGTATTTAACAGGAGTATTTTGAAAAATACATTTTAAAAAAAGCTATTTACAGAGTTTACTGGGGACAAGGAATTCTAAAATTAAAAAGGTTTCAAAGAAAACAAGTCATCTTCAGATCCCACTGGGAATCTTTCATCTGACCTCACCCGAGAAAAAATATTTTTACGTTATTTATAATGCCAGATTCTTGGATTACAAATTTGCCATATTTTTTTAGCAGTTTTTCTTTTCCATTTGATTTTATCATTATCCAGGTTATATTTTACAATTACAGATCTCTTTTCTGAAGAAAAAACATTCCTTAGAGATCTGGAGGTGTAGATTAGTTTATGGAGGAAAGAAGGATTAATGTGTTTGAAATACTCGCTAGGCAATTTTAGTTTTGTATGAAGTGATGGAAATGCTTTAGTAATCATTCCTGATTAATTATAAAATGCAATGAAATCAATAGGCCTGCTCACATGTTTCAAATTAAGTATATGATCAAGTTCTTGTCTGAATCTGACAGGCTGTATGCTTCAGTAGACCTAAACTCTTTTTTTTTCTGAATAATAATAAAAAAAGATATGAAGCCCAGTGAACATGAATTCATTTATATCTTAACTTCATATTAATGTGGAAGAATAATATTAATGAGATTAAAATATTCTGCCATTTTTACTTTTTTTTTTTTTTTTTAACATTTCTTCATTTGCAAATCTGGTCCAGTTCTAATTCTGAAAAGCTGAAAAAGTTGTACTTAAAGATGTAGCACTTTGGATCACAGGAACTTTTTGTGTTACTTTGTTATACATGAAATGAAGTTTTCCAGACTCTTCGGTTCCTACAATTGTTTAGGCAATCCAAAATGGCTTTTCCACTTCAATTTTACAGAGCACTCAGGAAGTTTGTTGTTTTCCTTTTCCCAGCCTTCCTCTTTATCTTGAAAGTCTTCAGCTGTTTTTGAATATTAGGAACTTGATGATTTTTAGCAGTGTTAATAATTTAAGCTTCTTGGATCTTTTTCAGCTCGTTCAGATATTAAGAAAACAAGCATTAGCACTCCTATTACAAATATACTCCAGCTGACTCACCTTCTCCAACTTTAGTATCTGTCATTAAATTAAACAGTGCATACAAACACAATTTTTTATTTACCCTACCATCCACTCTTTTAAAGAGGCAGTAGTTACTGCTCTACACTCTAGAGCTGTAACCAAGTCAAAAAATAAGGCTATAGGTGACAGTAAAGAATTTACATTACTTCCTACTGATAGATAATGTTCTTCACAAGCTGCTTGGGYCTGGCAGGATGCCCCAGTCACCAGCCATGAAATTCACAGGCACTCATTCCTGCTACCACTGCACAATTTAACTATTTTATTTTGGCTGAGAAGAGTGGCTTTCCAGCTGGACAACAGTCTGTAGCACTTTACATTTACTAGAAGAGGCCACTTAACAATGTAAAAAAAAAAAAAAAAAAAGGGAAGCTACTGAACATTTGGCTCGGTACCCGTAGCTTACAGTAGCTTCCTTCGTTATCGATAATACTCCTTTGCAGAGAAACAATGATCCATGAGGCAAATCACCTGGTATTTTTGAGAATCCAATAAGAAACTACACAGGATGAGCATGGCTTATGCAAAAACACAAGACCTTTTTGCTGCTGCCCAGCAGTGTCCTTGTTGCTCATTCTGTGTTCAACAKAAACACCAACTATGTACCAAAACTGATACTCAATGATCTTTAACTTAMTGCTTATTCAAAACCTGTCTGGCCTCTCTAGAAACCTCTGCATAGGCATCTTGTCAAGTTTGACTTTAGATGCAAGTCTTCTATGCTATAAAAAGACAGGTACAACTCACAGGCACCCAGTACATTGTAGGACTCTGCTATGTTACTCTATGTTACTACCTCTTTATGCTCTCCTGTGTTTGTGACACATCTTGTTCAATTTCCAGGTTTATCACATTCATCCTTTGTGCTAAGTTTATTATTTATAAGCTACAGATACTATTCAGCTAAAAGTCCTACTGTTGCTTTTTCCAGTGCTCATTGTTTCTTTGTATGGACTAAATAAGCCTACTCCACCAGACTGGAAGGAAATCTCCATGTACATTTCCTTCTAATCATCCCCTGTCTTGGTGTGGGGGCCTGTTCTACTCTGTGGAGAAGAGCTAGGAGTAAGGGCAAGTAAGTCAGCAATTGTGACTCAACTTTTGTGACATTGGAGGTTGTATAAAAATTCTGTACAAAGGGGTCTGTTCTGTTCTGTTCTTTTTGCATYTTTAGTGACCAGGAAGGCAAGTGTCTTGCCTCCTGCTTCCACTTGAGTGTCCTCCTTGCTTTACTGAAAATTTGTCTTTTAACTTCCTCAAAGTATACTTTTGTGATACATACATTAAGCAACAAAAGAACTGTCGGGAAGAGCCAGAAAGCCCCAACCCTGCAACCCTGCTCTGACCAAAGCCAGAGACCTTACAGAGAAATTAGAGAAATGAAAAGATTAACAGCTAACTTTGATCTCTCAATTCCCCTACATATGACTTGTTGCTCACATGAGTAATTTTTTTTTTATCTGTTTATCTGTTTTTATGGAGACCTGAGCATGTATCTGCTGAAAACCATATTCTTCTTAGAATTCAAACTTTTAGTCTTTCTTTGGCCTAGCAAGCTCCTTGTAAGGTTGTGGAATTTCTTTCGGTAGAAGTTTTTAAAACCCAGTTTAGACAAATGCCTCTGGGAATATCCTGGATATAATGATTCTACTAGCAGGTTTGAATGCAAGGCCTCCRTCTTTTCTGTTGCTTTCCATCTCAAAATCATTGTAATAACTCCCTCAGAAATCTCATCCTCATTTTCTTTACTGTTTTGTAAATACTGAAGAATCTTTCAAAAAAAAAAAAAAGAGAGAGAGAGAGTTTTGTAGACAAACACAATTCAAAAGCTAGACAACATAACCATAGGAGGATAAGCGGAGTACTGGAAAGGACTCTAGTCATAAATCTGTTATTAATCATATAAACACATAAAGTTCTGAGAAGAAAACCAACCAATGCAAAGGAAGGTTTAATGGCAATAAAAAACAAAAAGGGGGAAAAAAAGGAAGTAGAGCTAAAACAATCTCTATACAAAACCTTATTCCACAACAAATTCAGTGGAGCCTTTGGGATTGTGGTCCCCATATTTCAGTCAGCCATGAGTTTCATGAAAGATTTAGATGTGAAGATTCATCGAGTTCCTGACTGTTCTTTCACACTGGCTTTTGTTTTCTTTCATGCTTTTTTCCTGACACCTCAGCAGCTAGATCACTCCGTTGGGACTTAAAAGAACTGTTTTTTCCCCTCACTTTGTCCAAGAGAATTCTGGTTTAGAATCTCTCTCCAAAAATTTCTGAAGGGTGCTCAAGGGAGTTCCGGGATGACAGGAGCCTCTGAGTATTTCTGTGGAAACTGTTCCACTTTGAATGACATAATTAATTATACAGTTATTAAGCCATTGGCCTTGAGATTGGGGAACTTGCCTGGAAGGAGAGAGATGAGGATTTCAGCTTGCTCGGATTAATACTTCACTATTTTACATTAAACCGAGCAGCAAATAGAGCTCTACAATTCTCTCTCCAAGTAAACGTTACTTAAAAATCTCATATACACTCTTATTTGCTTGGTCTTTGCCTTTTCTTCCCTCTCGATTCTAGGTAAGGTATGAGAATACAAGCAAATCTAGAGAAAGCTGGAATTCTGTGCTCGGCATCTCCTGTTGCCYGGCCTAGGGGCCTTCCATGCAGTATGTCAACCTCTGCAAAGCCTGTTCTTAGGTGCCCCACTYTCTCCAAGCAGCCTTGCCATCTAACTGGATCCTGATGAACAGCAGTATCTAAAAGTCCCTTCTGGGGAATTCATCTCTAACCGATTGATTTTGTTATTCCTCACAAAGTTTACTATACAATTAAAAATAAGAAAATCCTTCTGTCAGTTTTAACAGGTAGTGGAAATCATTTGCTAGTAGCAAAATAGGTATATGAAAGTACTTTCTGTAGGAATAGGTCTGATCTAAAGTTAGGAAAAAAGTTGAAGGTTAGCTGTATAAAATTCTTAGCCCTGTCAATGCATGTCAGTCACACTGCTTGAGGCACTTCAAATTCAGTAGAAAATTCATTAACATTCTTTGTACATTTCTTTCTTGGGGTGCCATGAYTGCTGAAAGAGTCTTCACACTACCATGCTCTGCAAAAGTTATTCTGGGTGCAGAGAATTCTGATGGGCTTTTTCTGATAATGCTACAAATAGGTTTTTATTTCCCAAAGACAAGAGTATTGTCTCTTCAGTCATAAGCATTTGAAGATTTTTATTTTTTATTTTGATGCACTTTTATCCACACATGTCTCTAGATTTATAAGATTGGTTACTCTCTTCTTTTTTAGTTTATTTATTTAAATTGGATTGCATTGCGACAGATAGCACTATTATTAGTATCACTAGTATCAAAATAATAGTATCACTATTATTTTGGAGCTAGATGTCATGGCCTGTAGAATCATTCAGCTTTAGGTATCTTAAGTACGCTGAAAAATATATTGCCTGCAAGAAACTTAAACAACTCTTTTCCTCTAGCAATTGTCATTCTAGTAAAGGCAAAGGGACCCATATGTTTGCAAAACGTTGAAGTCATACCCTTCTAACTCTGGAATGTCCCTGCAGAGCTGTTTTGAGCTTCCTTGAAATTAATTAAATAAATAAATAAAGAGGATATGAGTGTGCTTCATTTGGCACCTCATGGAAAACATGCACCTGGGGAACAGTACTTACCCTGTCCAGAAAGAAATGCCTGGTCTTGTTTACAGTACTATTTGGTTTATATCCTTTCTTCCAGGTAACTGCAATAATGAATTGCCTGTCATAAAATAGTGTTGATCATCCTTCCCTTAGGCTGGTATCCTTGCAACTGTGCAGTTTGACACAGTTTAACACTCATCCTTGGATATTTGGGAAGTTTCCATTTACCAAACTTTCAGTTCCTCCTCAAAGAAAGGCAGTACATTTCTTGGGTGAGAGAGTTATAAAACAGCAATAGTTACACCACCAATGTGGTCCCCATAGGGCACATATCTAGCATGCCACCAAGCTGAGAAATACAGAACTTTGACTGAGAATGAAAGCAATGACTCACAACTGGCTGTGCTCTGTTTTGTTACACTGCTTACAAAACATTACATATTATCTTTGCTAGCAATGCTTTAACTCCTCCTCTCCTGTGTTAAGGTTATAAAGTCTTTAGATCTTGACTGCTGGAGAAGAAATAACACAGCAGGTTTGGAAATGAATGTTGAATATACTGACGTAAACCATTTCAGACCAAGGCACTGTTACAGCAACATTGCTGAAGCATACCACAGGAGTATTTGTCCAAATCGTTTTGTTTCATATCACGTAAATGCAAGCATCAAAGCTGAACTGGAACAAACTCAATCAACTGAGGGCAAGTGGCTTCATGACAATACTCTAGCAAATATTTTTTTCCTTTTTAAAAAAAGTTTGATATATTTCTGTCTGACAGC